GATAATCAGTTCATTAGTGGGCAATCCTATTTCTTTTCTTTTGAAAGCTGAGCTAGCCCCGGTGCTCGTCTTTATATGTTTCTACAGTGAGTAGCTGTTGTGGCAGTTTCTCAGTATTATTCAGCTCCTTCTTCAGAGAATCTTGTCCCAGGGTGAGACATAATCCATCTCTGCCATCCTGAACTGTGGCTGGATAAACTAGCCTTTGTTCTGCTCTGAAGATCTCCTGCAAACTCTAACCTGAACCTGCAGCAGGTCTCGAGCTGGTTCATTCACAGGACCAAGATGGCCGATGCAGCAGATCACATCACTGCCTGCTGTAGACGGCCACAATCCACAATAGTGGAGCTGGAGTTAATCCACTGGATGAGAGACGGTGGAGAGCGAGTGCTTGTCTTCTCAGTTGTTTGTTGCAAAGTCAGGACATGTAAAAATATTTGCAGTGCAGAAGCTGATAACATATAATGTATAATAATACTTAAGAAATCTTTCCTGCACATAAATGCACGTGCACTCTACTGTCACAGACAGAGTCTAAATCTGTGGGAAAACCGCTGTGTATTTCTTTATGTTGAGCAGCTTGAATTGAATATGCTGCAGGAAGTAGTGTAGCTTCCACAGAGCTTTTGGAGGAAGCGTGAGATAAGGATTTATAGGTGAGATTTAACTGGGTGCAGTTGAACCTTGCTTCCATTATGCCTCCAAACCTACACTCTCCTCCCAGCGCTGCCCTGCTGCAGTAAACCTTGAGATAGCCGAGATATGGATCGTGCACACAGATCCAGGTACAGCTCAGTATTGGGATGTTTTCTTAATATATTGTGTTTTTACCTGCCTCACTTTCTACGGACCTTTCACTCTCCCAGTGCAGGCAGCAACACTGAGTCGATAATACTAAGGTTGTTGTTTCACTGAGAGCATCACCATCTCAAAAACGAAATATTAATGAAATATGAATGAGTAAAGGATGAATCAGCTGTTACAAACCCAGCTAGGTTCCCATCAATATCCATAAGAGTCACAAAGTAGTCACCAAAAAGCTTACAGAGGATACGATGGATAAAATATAATTGGACTTAGAACTGAAATGTAAGAGCCAAATCAAACTGTTCTGTTTAAAAAAGAAAAGAAAAGAAATGCTAGGCTCGCTGGCTTTCCTTTCGAAAACAAACATTACAGAATAAATAGCACGTCTGTAAGTGAGTATCTTACAAAGGAAGTCAACTAACTGTGCGAGTGTGCTAATCGCTGCTTCCTGGCCCTGCGTCCCAGTGTTTTAAGGCCCCTGACAGGACTAAACAAACAGGTTATATAATCAAAAGCTGGCAGGCAAAAAGCCTACAGAACATTATACATACGAGGTACTTAAAAGGATCAGTAACAGGTACCCTTTCGTAGCAGTTAGCAAGAATGTACGGAACAGGCTACTCACTGATCACAGCAGCCCTGAATGACAGTCTGACAGTCGTAACCAGTCAAATATGGCAGTAAGAGGGAGACAGGAGAAACAGTCAGGCGAGGAGGGCAAAATAAAGAGCACATGTATGCACCGATCAGGAGCTGGGGCTTGCAAAGGGAATGCTAAGCAGTTTTGTTACATAAGGGGGAAAGAACAACCCAGGGCCCTAACATCAACCATGACAACGAAGCCATCAATTCCCGAGTTACATAAGCAGGTGGGCATCTGAAAAAACTGAATTTGGCTTTGTTTTCCTATGTTCCCCTCACCCCCACGGCCCCATCAGACGCTTGCCTGTCCCTGAGATTGATTCTAGCAGAGGTTTCTTCCTTTCAAAAGGGAGTTTTTCCTTCCCACTGTTGCGAAGTGCTTGCTCATAGTGGATCGTCTAATTGTTTGGTTATTGTAGCAGAGGCGCCCTTAGGTGACTTTAGGTGCTATATAAATAAAACTGAGTTGAATTGAGCTGTCTCTTATTTTACTAATCTCATTATTTTTCAATTAAATGGCAAAGTAGGTCAATGTGTGCTCTAACAAGGTGCTAACCATCAGCAAAGAAATTGTATTAAGCTGCATTAATCCTTCAATGGGAAGCTTAGGTCGAGGCAGTAAGTCAAGGTGTGAATGGACACGAAGGTGGCATGACACGCAACTCTGCCTGAACTCTTGTCTAGGTATTACTCCGATATCTCCCGCATGCCAGCCATCAGCGATCAGGACATGAGTGCCTACCTAGCGGAGCAGTCCCGGCTGCACCTCAGCCAGTTCAACAGCATGTCAGCGCTGCACGAGATCTACTCCTACATCGTCAAATACAAAGATGAGGTAAGCTCCCACTGCCCAGCACTAAATATAGAAGAAGGGAAGAATGTTGTAATTATTCGTGCTCTGCCTCCCTTTACTTGTTTTGACTAATACCACGAGGTCATTTTAATTCAATAACACTGATAACCAGTCCACATCGGTACAAGCTGGAAGGTATTACCACCATTAAGGATGCACATTAAGGCATGAGCTCAGCACATTATGAACTTAATGGAGCTTAACAGAATTTAGGTGATTTTTTTTAAAGACCTGCTTGCACAGTATCCTTTGCTGCTACCAGCTGATTAAAACTCAAGAATGTGTTAACGAAATAGTGCCACATTTTAAGGATGCTTATTCATTTTATTGAATAAGCATTCACAGTTAAGAAAACAAATCACGAACAACCAGCAGAGTCTCAAGCAAGACATTAAATGCACTTATTGGGATTTAAACCGCTAAATTCTATATACCCACGTGCCATCATGTTCATAGTGTGTGTCTGATGAGAAGTTCTCCAACACCATCATCACTCATTTTACTCTTTGCTTAAAAAAGTAGCACACGGTATTTAATGAAGAAAAAAGTGAATGTTAAAAGGCTCGTCTCAGGATGTTCATAAGACGTCCCGGGACAGCTACATTTAGATAAAAAAAGCCGTCTCGTCATCATCAGCACAGCCCGCAGATTCAAACCCACAACCTATGAGGATCTAACCGCTGCGCCATCGTGCTGCACTGCCATGTAGGAACAGTTAGTTTTGACCTTTTAGGTTCATACAAATACAGATGAGGACAACATTATTAAGTTTTTCTCAAAATTTTCCCAAGGAATTTTCAATATAGCATATCTATAAAGACACGATATTGTACACGGGGTATCTGGCCCATTGCTACAGGCCATTCGATCCCTATACAACCGTTGCAAGAGCTTGGTTCGCATTGCTGGCATTAAGTTGGACTCGTTCCCGGTGGGTGATGGACTCCGCCAGGGCTGCCCTTTGTCACAGATTCTGTTCATAATTTTTATAGACAGGATTTCTAGGCGCAGCCAAGTGGCGGAGGGCTTTCACTTCACACTCAGAATCTCATCTCTGCTTTTCGCGGATGATGTGGTTCTGTTGGCTTCGACGGGTGATGGCCTCCAGCTCGCACTGGAACGGTTCACAGCCGAGTGTGAAGCAGCGGGAATGAGGATCAGCACCTCCAAATCTGAGGCCATGGTTCTCAGCCGGAAAAGGATGGAGTGCCCACTCCGGGTCGGGGATGAGTTCCTGCCCCAAGTGGAGGAGTTCAAGTATCTCGGGGTCTTGTTCGCGAGTGATGGGAGAAGGGAGCCGGAGATCGACAGACGGATTGGGGCTGCAGCTGCAGTAATGCGGACGCTGCACCGGTCCGTCGTGGTGAAGAGGGAGCTGAGTGTAAAAGCGAAGCTCTCAATTTACCGGTCGATCTACGTCCCTACCCTCACCTATGGCCACGAGCTGTGGGTAGTGACCGAAAGAACGAGATTGCGGATACAAGCGGCGGAAATGAGCTTCCTTCGAAGGGTGGCTGGCCTCTCCCTTAGAGATAGTTCAGCCATCCGGGTGGGGCTCAGAGTAGAGCCGCTGCTCCTCCACATCGAAAGGAGCCAGCTGAGGTAGTTCGGGCATCTGACAAGGACGCCTCCTGGGTGAGGTGTTCCGGGCATGTCCCACCGGGAGGAGGCCCCGGGGCAGACCCAGGACACGCTGGAGAGATTATATCTCTCGGCTGGCCTGGGAATGCCTTGGTGTTCCCCCGGATAAGCTGGAGGAGGTGGCTGGGGAGAGGGAGGGAGGCCTCCCTAAGCAAAGAGGGAGGCCTCTTTGCTTAGGCTGCTGCTCCCGCGAACTGGCCCTGGATAAAGCGGAAGAAGATGGATGGATGGAAGCTCAGTCTGATCTAAAGACGTCTGTTAAACTTTCACTTTTGAACTAAATGTAATCCAGTTTTAACACTGACGGCTTTTAGAAATCTAATCAAGAGAAAATGCTTAGTTGGTAAATGTGAATGTGAGAGTACTTCAGATTGGGTGGAATTATCAGTTTTGCAGCAGGTTTCACTCTCCAACCCAGTTCAAATATTGAGGGATATCTTTGGCTAAAACTTCAGCCTTCATCCTCTGGTGCTTTTTCATTTTTATTTAATGATACATTTTTATACTACCTCGCATTCGAACATGCTAAACAGTGAGCATTAAAGGTGCTGCTAGGGTTTCTTCTTCTAGTTTCTAGTATATATATATATGTAAGCCAACAAATGTATGGTTAATTTTTCTGTGCATTTTCTTTATATTTGTGTTATTTGCTTCTCCAAACATGTGAGCTGCTGAAATATGCTTGCATGGAATGTGCTGTTTTAAAAATAGAGCCTTATATCTATACTACACACCTCTCCCTCCTCAACCTTTAGTATGCTTTTAATTGGTGAGAGCTACGCCCCCACTTGTTCTTGTTTCCATTCTTCCATACCAGCAGTATGACGGTAGTTAAGCTGGCTGTTTGCAGCTGGCTGTATTCAAACCAACTGCTCCCCTTCATTATGACCTATTATCCAGATGTAGACAGCTGCACGGCCCCCATCGTCTAACAAATGCGCTCAGACAGACACGTTAAAAAATAAAGATGAAATGCACACGTCCTCACACTCATACCACATCCTCCTTTCCCCACTCTCATCATGAAAAATAACGCACTCCTGTTGGTCATTCTCAGTAGCCATTAACATCCAATCACAAGACATTCCACTGGCCATAACACCTGCCCTGTCAGCCCTGCTCGTGTTGTCAGCGTGAGTGCAATTGTAGTCGCTAACCACTAAAAGGGAAATTAGCACCAGAGCGCTCCTTTGGCTCATGTAACTGTGAATTCATGGCTAAGGAGCATAACAGCGGCGCCCAGGCTGCACTGCCGCATGCTCGAGGTTTTAAAGGCGTCTCTCTAATCTGTTTCCTTCCGTGTGTCCAGATCCTGTCAGCGCTACAGAAGGACGAACAGTCACGCAGACAGCGACTACGCGGCAAGCTGGAACAGGTTATCGACACCATGGCTCTATCTAGCTGAGGATCAGCCAATGGCGCGCCTCAGCTGGCAGGAGAACTGGCTAACCAACACGCCTTTCCCCAACAACTTTGACCCCCTCTCCCCATTCCTCGCCGTTTTAACACCCGACGTTTAAAGTCTGTCGCCATCGCCGTCACAACCAACAATCTACAGCAGCAGAAAGGACTGCGAGAACACAAGCACCCAGCAAGCAGCAGCACACTCGAGAGAGACAGCAGAGTTTGGAACTAAAGTCCCGGCAGCCGGGTTGACTTTTACCCCCTCCCCCATTGCCTTTCTTTTTCTTCTTCTTCTTCTCTGAGCCTGCCATAACAACCAAATCAAGTGCGTCCCCAACCTCAGCCGATTTTGGACCTCAGCTCAGGAGAGCATTTATTTTCATCAAGTCCCTCATCACGTCTACAGTTACACGGGAGCAGCTTTGGCCACAATCAGGAATGGTACATGCACAGTGGTGACCAGAAACTCATCAAGCTGGACCTGAAACAAGCCCAGAGCTAGTATCTTTTCACAGCCAGTGCTGCAGTTCTGACTCTGAGCCTATAAAAAAAAAAAAAAATCCAGAATACTTGATTCCTGTGAGGAATTTCTCTTTCTTTACTGTTGCTCCCCTCCACAAGGAGGTCAAAGGTCAGGGACAGCTACAGAGCAGCAGCCACAGAGCAGGTAGAGATTCAGCGTGTTGCTCAAAGACTCTTCGGTAGAGTGGATTCTCGGCAACACGCCGCTTGCCACTGCAGGGCAACCAGGAGGAAGGACTTTGCAGGGAAACTCTTCCTCCAGTACTGACTTTCCAACACTCCATCGACATAAATTCCACTGTAGTCGAACAAAGGACGCTGTCAGTTTCATAACTCTGTATTTGATTTGTTTCTGCATTTGATTCTGCCCGTCCAACTGCCTACTCTCCCCAGTGCTGTGCCACTTCTTGTGTTACTGCTGAATTTGCACAACAAAGCTAAATCAAAAGAGAGAAGAGGATATATGAATATATATATATATATATATAGATAGATATAAATACAAACCTTTCATTTTTAAAACAAATGAAAAACTGGGGAAAAAAACAAACTGTTTTTCATTTCAATGTACAAAAGATCCGTTTGAGACGAAGATTTGATATTTCCAAGATGAAAAATTATGAAAAACACGAGGAAAAAGTCGTCCTGTGCCATGTTTTACTTTGAATGTTGTTTAGTGCGAAGAGACTTCTTTTTTTCCCCGTTTAGATGAAACGTGCTACGATGAAAATGTTGTCATGCTTAGTGACTGAAAGTTTAAAAATAGGTAAATGGCAAAAATATATATATATAAATATATCATACGCAGACACTTTCTATATTTCGTGAGGTCTCGGGGCCATTGCGTGCTACATCTTTGGCTCTGAAGATAGCAAAAAGGCAAATGATGTCTGGAAGCCGCCTACGAGCAAACCAACCTGCAGTGCTTTTGTGTTTGTTTTTTAGAGGAACCAAATACAACACAAGGCCCAGTCAGCTGATTTAGATGAGACAAAAGTCACTTGTGTGGAAGCCAGCCTCATGCTGCGTTAGCAGACCGCAGAGGCAACCAAGCAGTCCTTTAAGCTGATCCCTGGCACACTGTGCTTTACAGCTTCCCGATCTTGTTTTCTAGACTTCCCCGCTTGTCTGAAACACATTTTTTTCTATAAGGTGTGCCATCCAAAAATGAAGGCTAGTCTTTGCTGTGCAGAAGATGTTGTCTAATATTTCTTGGTTTTATTATTTGTTTTTGTTGTTTTCTACTCCGAAGTGACGACGGTAAAGCTAAAGGGTCCGTTTTTTGAAAATGTGAATGTGGTTTATGAAAAAAGATAATGAAATGTAGCTTGATTTATGTGAGTGGGGTTTTTTGTACAAGTTGAAGGCCTTTCTCTCTCTTTTATTTTGTTCTGTGGTTTTGTAGGGTTAAAAAAAAAAAGAAGAGAAAAAAAAATGCAAATGTTCTCCTTGCACCGTGCGCTGCTCTGTGTTAACATTCGGAAACATTCCTCTTCCCTAGGAGTGTACACAGCTACTTATCAAGGCCAGAAGATACAAACCAAGGTGATGTATATATGTTCTTCCATCCTGTAAAAGCGTATCATGAATTTCAGACCACCAGATAAGACATATCAACACCCAGATCACACGGATGAGCTGAAAAAAAACCTTCTCTACATGTGTTTGCTTTGATAATAAATGGGAAAAAATAGTGTAAAAGAGTAGGGTTAAATGCACCATTTAGGACACTGTAACTTCAAAGAAAACAGTTGCATCAAAATTGCTTATGTTCGCTTCCTCTTCAGCAGTGCTTCCCTCAGTTTTTTTTTTCAAGTGGAGACCTTGTAACCAGATAACAGTAGGGTTCTCAGACCAGTTCAGATGGCTTTGAAGAGCTTTGCGTTGCATCAGGAGCTTCACAAACCAGAATCTCTTTCGTAACTGGAAGTTAATGTAACCATATGCATCCCTGCACAAGACACTTACTACGTATATTATATGTTAGTGACAGATTACCCTGGAAAAGAAACCTGTCTAATATGTAATATAAATACGATACGCAGCCGTTTCAGTGCTCCAGTTGCTAAATGTTTAATCTAAAAATGAACATTTACAGTCGAGGCTCTAATGTATTTTTATGTAATTCAAAGTTACAATGAAATAATTATTTAGTTTGTTCCTAAGCTGTGAAGAACGAAGATTAGCAGCTAGTGGACTAAAAAATGTGTGAACACCTTAAAACGCACCAGACGGACTACAAACTGATGAATTCCCCAAGTGATAATTCAATGTCACAGCTGTTCTACAGCTTGAACTGAAAGTGTGACTTTCACATTTGGTGCGACTGGTGTTTCAGCTACTTAAGTTTAAAGGATTCAGTCACACATTCGTCTCTTTGGGATTTTATATTTGAGCAGCAGTCCTTCCAGTCTAAGGCTTTGTCACACGGACAAATCCTAAAGAAGTATTGGCAAGAGGTCGAAGTCGGCGCAGTCGTTTCCACGTTATTGTGAGGCAGTCGCTGCATGCGAGCCGGCTGTTAGCGATTAGTTCGTGCTTGTTACATGCTACCTTAAACAATCTATTCACAGAGAAATCAAGGGTGAGCTCTCTCTCTTTTTTTTTTACTTCGGACCATTAGCACAAGTTGTATGCTAATGTGTAAGTTGTCCAGTCTTTAGCCTTTTGACTTCTTCCTTTGTCCATATTGTCAGGGAGTTAAGGATTTTTCCCACATATAATTACCAGACCTGTACCAAGCCAGATGCCACCAAACCAAACACATATTGCTGCTGTCAAGTAAAAGCTGTAAAACAAAGAATAATAGAACAAGACACAGACCCTTTAAAAGCCCAGTGTACATTCGAATCTCTAATCTGAATGCTAGTCTCTCACACCAACACACCATGTTTTTATCTGACAGCACAAATGTGCGTCTGGATTGGATGACAACGTACTGTATGTTCTTAAATACTTGAACCACTGATCTGCACAGGGTAACATAACATACAGAGAGACTGACCAAAGCTTTATGCATCTGCAACCCGAGCACAGCTCTGTGATAAGAGACTTTTCTTTGCCGTTTTCACTTATTCCACAAGAAACTTTTAGTGCTCAGTTTTAGTGATTTAAAAGCAGCCTCCGTCTTTATCCTTGATGAATGAGGCAATGCTACTTCCATGTACAGGCGTTCATTAACACGTTTTGTTCAAATTGAATGAATGAAACAATCTGAGGATGTGGACTCTTACATTGATGTTTGACTGGTGTTCACTTGCTCAGTTGAAGACTTGTAAAAAATGATTTTTGTGATACTGAAAGAAGAAGTCGTTGTTAGTGCCCCTAGGATAATTTTGTAGGGAGAAAAAAAAGGAAAAAAATAGACATGGTGAGATAAGGCCCATTTGGTTTTTGATGCTTTTGTTTCTTAGTTTTGTGCTTCTTGTTTTATGCTACAGCACTTGTTGAGGTAAAAGATGAAAAGACTCAGGCAAGGCAGAGGAAGTGCTTTGAAGGCCACGGTACCGCTTCATTGTCCATTCCATCACATCTGGGTTGTTTTTCCCCCTCTTTTCATGTAGAAAAACACAGTCAAAAAGGAGGGTGGAGTGGGAAAAGAAAAGAGGTGGTGAAAGAGATTCTCCTGGCGATTGACAGACACATAGGTTTTTGCTGTGCCTTGTCAGCCTCTACCCACATGGAAAATTATATGCTTTTTTCCATGTACATGATTCCTATTTTGTTCAATGTCCATGTCAAAAACTGACAAACAAATACAATATATGTAAATATATATGTCCTTTTAAATGTGAGATTACTAGACTGATACCAGTCATGTGTCATCTAGCCTAGCTTATACTAAAGTAGCCAAGAGCTAACCAGGCATGATAACTCCCTCAAAGATGGCTATGTAAAAAACTGCATCCATTTAATTGGAGACAGTGTGAAAATAATATGCTATCTAAGGGTGTGTGTTATGGGGGGAGTGTATCCTGCAAACAGTGAATGTAATTAAGAAGATTTGACACAAAAATCCCTCTAAAATGATAAATTACATCTCTTTTGTTGATGTATATTATTAGGGTTGCTTTATATTGATTGAGGCTATTGTTTGTTTTCATGCTAATATTAAGACAAGATTAAAGTAAGCTAATTACATGAAATGTCTGTAGGCAGCTTTTAGCCTGAGATTGCTATTTAAAGTCTTTTTCTCAAAGTAATGGACTAAATGTGCTTATTTGCTTTCTTGGTTTTTCTCACTTTAAGGAGAGAATTATTACAACTTTGACATTACTTTTTTGTATGAGAAGTCAGAGCTAGCAGATGGTTAGCTTAGTTTAGCACAGAGCCCTAAAGAGATAAGATAAAACAAACAGGTAGCCTAGCTAGCCAATTAGAATGTAAACAGCTTGATGAAGATTTTGTTCAAATATTATTTCAAACAACAGCACTAAACGTGATTAGTAATTAACAAAGCTTTGCAGACACACCAGAACTTACATATTCATGTTTTATGGCTCTTGTGCATGGATGTAAGATATAGATAACGGCCCCTACAAAATTAGCCATCGTGTGGGCCTATAAAAAAAAACCCAACTTGTGGCTATACCCATAGTCTAACCAGAAGTCAGCTATCTTGAATTTGCTTGTGTACAGATTTGAAGATGAAATATCTTCCAGCTTCATATGAGGGTCTGTCTTAAGTAAAGATGATAAAAAGCAAAGCTTCAGAGTTTTATTGAAAGGTTTTTCCAACTTTTAATGTTCATTAAGTTCATGTTTCATTTTGAATGTAGATTGCATTTCATGAAAAACGTCATCCAATTTGACAAAATATCTACAACAACATGACATATAATTAGTGGATTTTGTTAGCCAAGAATGGGTATCTGTTCATTATTAACACTTAGCCCCCTTAGTCCAGGCATAAAACCCAGTGTAAAGGACCTTGATTTAAAGATGCAAGGATTATAGCGCACTAGACTTTTCCCCTTCTTTATGCTAAAGTTAAGATTGGTATAAAATACATGAGAGTGGTATCAATCTTCTAATCTAACGCTGTTATTTTATTGAGAAAAGAACA